GTTTTGAATATCCCCAAGGATGGAGACTCCACAGCCTCTCGGCATCCTGTTCTGGTGTTTGACCACCCTCATAGTACCAGTTTCTCCTGTGCAACTGCACGCAGACCTCTGAATTCTTCCTGTTTGCTCCCCTGGCTCCGTGCATTGGCATTCAGCAACTTCAGAAAAGGTCTGAGCACTCTGCCCATCACACTTTCCTGTAAGTGTACCCTCATTTACCTCCATACGTTTGACATGGACACCTTCAGCCTTCTCCTCATCACAAGGTCTCTCCTAGCCGTGTCCCCTTGCATTCTTTGCTCCACCGCTTCCTCCCCATCATCATTATTTTAAAGCTCTCCTCACCAGCCTGGCCAGCCTGTTGGCAGGGATGATTTTGCCCTGTTTTTCATTCTTACTCAAAGAAACTTGAGACAATTGGAGCCATGTGCAAAGCCATGTATGACAGAGATGCAACAATACTGATAAAGCAGAGTGGTGGAGGGTGTTTGTGTGAAGAACAGTGATGGGAGCAGGCAAGGTGAAAAGGCAACAAGTGGGGAAATAGCCCCCTCTCCACGGAGAAAATAATTCACCAAAAAGGAGATTATGAAGCAGTTGTATGCTTCTGACATTTATTTAATCTTTAAAATGATTTATTTATTTAATCTTTATTATTTAATCTTTAAAATTTCTTTAAAGAAAGAATTTATTTAACATTTATTTAATCTTTAAAATTTCTTTGATGAGAAATACTTGTATTTGAAAGATCTCAGCTTTCTGCTGTTGACAGAATTTGGGTGAACTTGTGTGTGTGTCTGTGTAGACATTACACGTTTGCATACATAGATGGCCAAAGAAAATACTTCTTAGCGAATAAAAAACGTTTGACTCTACTTAAACAAGAAAAGAATCCACAATATGTATGACCCAGCCTGTGCATAATCATCAGACTAACACATTTATACAGCATTTCTCCCACAGCGTTTTAAAATGATGAACAACAAATTCAGAGTGGAATTCTGCCCTGTGTCCCTGCAATGAGCAGTTGATTACAGATCGTGTTTTAATGCTCTGTCTGTCTTGCACCCACCCACGCGTCAGATTAAATGGTAGAAATGCCAACTGGATGATAATGTAGTATCATTTCTGGAAGTATTGGCTTTTAAAGTTAATCTTCACTGGGATGCTTTGCTGTAGGCATGTGCATACATTAGATAACCTTGGCATGCAGAGAGTATTTTAAGAGGCACATAATTTTGAAACACCCCTTAATATTCAGTGAAGGCCATGATACATTCCATGCGCATAAGATCAGAAACAGACCTTCCAGGCTTAATTTACTTCTCAGGATAGATGCCAAATTGGGAGCCCACAGTGATGATGCATTCTGTTTGTCTGTAGGACAGTTAAAGTGGCAGTTAAAGCTGTTCCACTGCCCTGGTCTAGGACAACCACCTCGCAGAGATGCTAAGGAGAATAATGCGTACGACTCTCTTCACATGCTTCTCTTTCTAGCTGAACTTTCCGAAATGAAGGCTGCCAACTAATGACATGTACTATTATGGATCCTGGGATCTTGAAGTGTGAGGTCAGAAAATTCACTTTAGTTCCTAAGTTCCAGCATCTGGTGCTACCAGTACTGTCCAGAATCAACCCGTTAAACCCACAGGCAGTACCATCAACTGAAAGAAGGGAGATGGAGATGAGATCTGAGGAAGAAATTCTTTGCTGTGAGGGTGGTGAGACACTGGCCCAGGTTGCCCAGAGAAGCTGTGGCTGCTCCTCCCTGGAAGTGTTCAAGGCCAGGTTGGATGAGGCTTTGAGCAACCTGGTCTAGTGGAAGGTGTCCCTGCTGATGGCAGGGGGGTTGGGACTGGATGATCTTTAAGGTCCCTTCCAACCCAAACCATTGTGTGATTCTATCAGTAACTGCTTCCATATCACTTTCTGTTTATCCACTGATGATACAAAAAAATGAATAGCTGCTTCCTTAAGCTTTCCATTTAATCAACATCATTTTATATCCACAAAATAAAATCCTAACCCTCTGTAATTCAGAGATTTTGGAATAAACAACATGCTTACAGATTTCCACTTTGAGTTAGCTGCTTTATGAAGAAGGAAGAAGTACCTGTGAGATTAGATTCAAAATAATTCTGTGTAACATATCTGGCCCTTTTATGCAACAGCACAGGGGAGAGGAGAAAAGCAATTCCTAGCCTTGATGTCAAAACAATGTAAACTACTTTTTGTACGTTGACTTGTGTGACAAGTGAGGCATGCAAACAAAAGCACAGCGCCCTGATAGTGGCAGTGAATATTTTATCTTACCAGCAAAAAGCAACAAGAGATGAAATCCTTCAAGCGTGCGCGGTGCTGACGGTGTGCTCTCGTCATGACAGTAATGGTATTTGCAGTCCCAGCTGCACTCAGGCCTGTGCTGTAAAAGCTCCCATTTCTCAGAACGCACGCTGCAGCCTCCTGCCCTTTGCTGGCCCTTAGCCGACGAAGGAGTTTTTCTCTCATGTTCATCTTGACCCATATAAAGAGATATTTGAACAATTATTTTTTTGCCCCAAATGAAATTGGAGCGATTTTGGCATCATTAGTTCTGAAATTTTCACAGTGCTGAAAAGTATCTTTAGTTTTTGTATGTAAACCAGCCTTTCTCTGACTTTTTACAAATATCCAACATAAATTCCTTTCTAAAATTCAGGAGCTGGATCCTCGCAGAAATGTTGATTAATGCCACTGCTATTGCTGTGATTCTGTTGTTGGAATCTGCTTGGTAAGAATATTAGAGGGTGACTAAGGGCTGTGAGTAGCAAGTATTCACTGGTTTCTGTCGGAGATTGCCTTGACCAAGTCTAATGAGTTAAGAGGTAGTGAGTTAATTATGGATAGAGGACGATGCTGTGCTGGAAATGTCTTCGAATGTGTGTGCTCTCCAGTTTTTCCTAGTGCCCACTTGTTCAGTGTTCTCTCCAGGCTGAGGCATGAGATTGAAAGGGAATTGGAGAATGTTGCTTATAAATTATGGAGTTGCTGCCTCATGGTCACCATCCTGTCATCAATAACCTCAGACTATCCTTCACAACTCAGCCTTTTCTCCTGTCTGTTGTCAGCTTGTAAGGTTTCTACGTCCTCTGGTTAAGATTCTTCCCCATCACTGCATCCATTCTTAGTCCAGGTCTTTTGTGTGGACTCTCAACAGTCCTACACAGATTTCTTGCTTCCTACTTCATATTTGAGCATATTGATTCATATTCAGGAAGTTTTGGGTGATTCACTAGTGCAATTACAGAGTAGCATTTCAAGATATCCTAGTACTGCTTTGGAGAGACAGCCTTGGAGAACCTGGGTGCAGAGCTCTAGAGAAAGTGAAGAAGCAATGTGGCAGGTAAAAAAAATGTGTTCAGGAGATCTATGGATTGTGGTGTGGTAAAGGAGGGGTAAGCAGAAGGCACAAATTAAATTCTGGAATTATGCATAATGTGCATAATTCTGCTCAATGTGACCGGTTGGGTTTTGCATTATCCAGAAGAAAGAGCAGCAGGCAGCTTGCTTCCAGCTCTGCTTCGTTCTGAGGTTCAGTCTCCCATTTCAGAGGTGCTCCTAGACTGCTCGGCACCCTGCCACCTCCCACAGGCAACAGACCCTCTAGAAGATCCAGGGTCCTGGGCAAGCCCTGGTCTCTGCTCAGACCCAAGATGTGCACCTCCCTGCAGGAGATGTCACTAGCTGGGACAACAGGCATCCCACCACGAGAATAAAAACTTTCCAGCCGTTAGAAGTGGGGCAGTTGAGGTAGCCGTGCCCAGTATAGCTATAATCCGGCAGCAAGTGAATCTTGGTAGCACACACTTTGTGTTCAAGCACCCAAACGTGCCTGGGTGCTGGCTGTTCTGAGCTCCCAGATATTCACTGCTGTTGGTACCTGAGCTTGGTAAATTTAAACTGGGAATCAGCAGTGTTTCTGCAATTCCCTTTCTGACTGTACTGTAGGTATCCATTTTATCACAGAATCACAGAATGGTGGGGGTTGGAAGGGACCTCAGGAGATCATCCAGTCCAACCCCCCTGCCAAATCATGTCCAGGTGGGTTTGGAACATCTCTGGGCAGCCTGTCCCAGGGCTCCGACACCCTCACAGTAAAGAAGTTTTTCCTTAAGTTTGTCTGGAACTTCTGGTGTTCCAGTTTGTGCCCATTGCCCCTTGTCCTGTCACTGGGCACCACCAAAAAGAGCCCGGCCCCATCCATTTGGCCCCCACATTTCAGCTATTTCTAGACATTGATCAGATCCCCTCTCAGGCTGCTCTTCTCCAGGCTGAACAGTCCCAGCTCTCTCAGCCTCTCCTCGTCAGGCAGATGCTTCAGCCCCTCATCATCTCTGTGGCCTCTGCTGGACTCTCTCCAGAAGATCCCTGTTCCTCTTGAACTGCCCAGAACTGGACACAATACTCCAGATGTGGCCTCAGCAGGGCAGAGCAGAGGGGGAGGAGAACCTCCCTTGATCTGCTGGCCACGCTCTTTTTAATGCCCCCCAGGACACTGTTGGCCTTCCTGGTCACAAGGACACACTTTATCCTCACACTGTAGAAACATTATGTAGATGGGCCAAAATAATAAAAAAACCTTTGCAACTAAGTTTCTTTATTAAGTTGCTAAAATGTAAATTGCTATTTATCCAAAAGACCCATTTTCCCTTCCTGTAGCCACTGATCTCCAGGATATATCCTGAACCTCTAGAAAAGAAATTTCTGAAAATAATACACGGGTTTTGTTTCCATTCCCTTACTGACTAAACCTTCTAGAAATATCAACATGACTTCTGACCTTACTGCAGTTTAAGTTCTTTCCCCAAGTGACTGTCAAGCAAAGATAGTCATAAAATAATAGAGGAAAAAATAATGCCATGGAGAAAAGTTTCTTGGGATTGAGAGGATAAGATTGTTTTTCCTCTATCAATGCTCTAATTTCATTGTAATTTTAAAATTCTGTTTTACAGATTGAATCTCCAGTCACACTGCAGATGCATTTCTTTGAGTAGCCTCGACCCCCTTATGGACTCAATGAATGTATCACGACATGGCATTGCTCACTGGGAATGCAGATCCTGAGTTCAGCTCCTACTCCTTCAATAACTTGGAAAACCTGTGTGAAGTGCAAACCAAGAAAGGATTATACTACAAAAAGGCCAAACTCTTACACCCTGGGGAAGACTTGTGCTACTTAGCCCGCCTGGATGACCGGACTAGGTTTGTGATCATCAACGTAGGTGGTATTAAATACAAAGTTCCATGGACCACCTTGGAGAACTGCCCCTTGACCAGGCTTGGGAAGCTCAAATCTTGCAACAATTATGATGAGATCATGAACATCTGCGATGATTATGATGTTAGCTGCAATGAATTTTTTTTTGACCGTAATCCTAGTGCCTTCAGGACAATCATGACTTTCCTGACAGCTGGGAAGCTGAGGCTTCTCAGGGAGATGTGTGCTCTTTCTTTTCAGGAGGAGCTTGTGTACTGGGGGATAGAAGAAGACCACCTGGAGTGGTGCTGTAAAAAGAGACTGCGACAGAAAGAGGAGGAGGCAGCTGAGGCCAGACTGTATGAAGGGGAGATGGTGTTTAGTGAAACTACGCAATGTGCCTTCCAGGACAGTAGCCGATTGAGTTTGTGCATGCGAAAGCTCAGGGATATGGTGGAGAACCCCCACTCAGGGATCCCAGGAAAGATCTTTGCGTGTATTTCAATCTCTTTTGTTGCCATCACTGCAGTCAGCCTCTGCATCAGCACCATGCCAGATGTTAGAGAAGAAGAAGATCGGGTGAGTGCTGCTTTTCTCAGCATCAAGCGTGTTTTGCAGTGTTGTCTCCTCAGGGAAGGTGACGGGCAAAGTCAGCCCAGCAATCATGCAGGTATTGCGTTTGGTGTTTATGAGGTGAAGGGCTGGCCAGGGTAGAGCATGGAAAACGTTGTGTCACTTAATACTGCAGGAAGATGGGGCCAAACTCTGCCCTGCCACCACAGCTTTGCTGGTTCACCCCAGCAGACAGCTATACCCAACAGATTTGTTTTCTGACATCTCAAACCAGATGACAGACTAGCTGATGTGGGTATAAAAATCAGCCTTGCTTGAGGCTTCATGTTTTGAAGTTAGGTTAAGAGCTAACAGATCAGTTTTCCTTAGAGGTACTTTAACATACTACTTTGAATGGACACTCAGAAGCCCACTGTAAAAACCACATCGAAAATGTTTTGATGCTGTGGATGAGGAAAGGGGCAGGGAAGCTGAGGCAGCAAATTGACAGCAGGAACAAAGCACTTGTCCCAATTTTCAGACATTCTTAGTATTCTCAAGTGGAAGCTGTTGATGCTTCATGCCCTTGAAAATCAAGTCCTTTGGAGATTTTGTTTATTTTTTAGTTCAACAAATTTCCTAAGGGTTTAGTCCCATATTTGTGCAGGCGGTTCAGTTTCCCAGGATTAGCTGTATGTAGTCCAGTGAGAGCTCATCTGAAGATCGATAGAGGAGGACATTTACATTTACATTAAATATATGCTGAAATGCAATCTAAGGGGCTTGGGACTTTCCCAAGAGTTCATGGCCTCTTTAGTTTTACTGAAATCCAAGCTTGACACTGAATATTTGGGCTTATCTTCCAGCTCTGTGGTCATTTAATGTGATTGTGAACTTCAGCTACTAAGACAGTAGTTGACCTTGCGAAGTTCTGCCTCTCTGCTGAGGGCTGAGCTCTCCTGGAAGCAGAACCCTTCTTGTGGGCCATCACCCAGGTGCTGAACGGCTCATTGCTCACTGCCATGAGCAGAAAAGAGAGTGGTCATTACCTGTCAGGAGGCATTTGCTGGTTTGTAGTGTTGAAAGTAAAAAGGGTGCTGATGGAAAATGGGTCCGGCGACTCCAGAGAGACCCCTGCCTTTGAGTGAGTGCCTCGTGTGCCCGCGAGGTGTGCTCAGGTTTAGATATCAAATGGAGTTGTTCAGGTTGGAATCAGACTTATTCAGTGGCAGCCAGGAAAAAAGACAAAATATTTGGCACATTGTTTGAGACTTGATTTCCTGTAAGATCTATGTTTTAAAGGCTTTTTATGATCTAAAATTTGAGGGTAGTAGTACTGGGTACTAGTTAAAATCATAGAATCATAAAATGTTGTTGGAAGGGACCCACAAGGATCATCGAGTCCAACTCCTGTACCTGCACAGGACAGTCCCAACATTCAGACCATGTGTCTGAGGGCCTTGGCCAAATGCTTTGGAATCTTGTCAGGCTTGGTGCCATGAGCACCTCCCTGGGGAGCCTGTTCCAGTGCTCCACCACCCTCTGCCTCAAGAACCTTTTCCTCATGGCCAACCTCAACCTCCCCTGCCACATCTTCCTGCCATTTCCTCTGCTCCTGGCGTTGGTCGCCAGGGAAAAAACTATATTGTCCTAATAATTTTTTAAAAAGATCATTTCCAAACCACATGCCTTATACTGTAATTAACCAACAGTGCTCCAGTATGCTGGAATTTTAAGCTCAAGGGATGTTTTACTGTTGAACACTGAGATGTATTTAGTGTTTAGGTGTGCCTCGGTTTAAGTGGGAGCTGAACAATTGCTTTCAAAATTACCAGAGTTTAGGCACCCTGTATTTTTACTAATGATCTGGACATAAATAGGGATTCATAATAGTAGGCTTAATAATATTTGTTGAGTGGAACAGAGTAATAACGAGGTTAAAGCAAGCATATGAGAAGCCTGGATTTCTGGGTAAGCTGGGGCCATTAAAAGGAGCACATTTTCATAGTCCAATGCAACATTGTACCATGAAGATGAATGCAGACTTGCTCTTGCAAAAGTAGAGAGTCTGATGCCCAAAATGAGACTCTAAATAGGATTTAGGGTACAAGGAACTGAATGCCAGTTCCTATGGCAGGATAAAGTCCACAGGGTTAAGGTGATCCTTGAATAGCTAAGCTGGGGAGTAGTGATTAGAAGCTGGAAGATGATTTTGTGCCTCTATGCAGCATTGGTGAGACTGACACTAGGATACTGCAGTCAGTTCTCACTTTGTATTTTTAAATGGTGTTTGAAAAATTGGAGAAGGTGAAAAAACATATAAACCTTAGACACTTGGAGAAAATACTGTACAGTAAGGAGCTTGAACATTTCAGTTGGTTTAGATTATCGAAAGGAAGGTGAGTAGATTAGGCAACTAGATGTTTTTTATGGGGGGAGGAGAACTGTATCATCTCAAAGACCTTTAAATTAAGCAGGGAGAGGAGGCTTGGTTAAAAAAGAGTGCATGGTTAAAAGTTGAATCCTGATAAATTCATATGAGAAACTAGGTGCCAATATTTAATATTGCAGTGATTAATTACTAGTGCAGACTAAGAAGAAAATGAATAGATTTTGTATTTTTTTCTGTTTTCAGTTCAAAGCTCAGTGCCCTTTTGGAAGGTAGCCTTCAGCTAAACACTCCAATCAAAAGTAAATTACTGATTTGAGTTCAAGTTGCAAAGGTGAAATGCTTGCAATACAGAGGAGATAAGAATAAAGGATCTGATGTTTTTCTGTGCCCTTAAATCCTAAAAGCCCATGGCTCCTGCAGATAGGTTTTCTTCTGCCCTTTCCACAGGGAAAAGGGAGACAAAGATGGTTCTCTAGCTCAGGGGCCAGGTGATGGATCACATCTTACATAGCTTCATTCATCCCCAATGTTCCTCTCATGCTGCTGAAACAATTCAGGTCAACACTCTTTGAGTTGTAAGCAGTCATGCCAGGAGTCATAGACACTGACTGATTTTGGTCCTGCACAAAGGGAGGTGAGTACCCATGTAGATCTTTTCAGTAAGGCTGGGGAAGGAGTTAGACATCTGCCCATGTGGAATTGCTTGTATGAGCAGAGACCTAGGCTGCCAACTCCTTGTGTGTCATCTGTAGGTGGCTTAGAAAGCTGCTGCAGCTCATCGAATAACCGGTGCAGAGAGAATCACAGACTGGCTGGGGTTGAAGGGAC